CAGCAGCCCGGATCCTCCTCTTCTTGGGTCCCCCACAGACTCTCATGGTCCTTCCCTCCTGTTGGGTGCCCCCACAGCAAGCAGCTTGCTATGGGGGCACCTTCTGCTCCATGTGTCCAGTCACACACGGAGCTGTGGCTCAGCCCCGCCCCCTCTCTTTTCGCATTGGCTCACTGGCTGTGATTGACAGCCAATGGCTCCCGTGTCTGTCTCAGCCAATAAGAAGAGGGAGCTAAGACTCCAGTGCACATTGCTGGATCAAGAGATGGCTTAGGTGAGTATTGGGGGAGCTGGGAGGGATGCTGCACAGAGAAGGTTTTTTACCTTCATGCATAGAAAGCAAGAAGGTAAAAAACCTTGAGCCTTTAGAACCACTTTAAGGAGGATCTTTTAGTAACTTCACAAGTCTCCTGATATATCACAGCAGGATAATGTGTCAAAAAAAGTTTACCTTTAATCATTAAACAGCTATCGTTGACCTCCAGGTAAGTGAGTTTGCCTAGCCAGGGATAACATCAATCTGCTGCAGGCAAGAGGAGACATTTCCTCAGTTTCCCCTCATAATACAGCACTGTAACTTTTATAAGAGGGGTATGGGGATCAATTTAACTGTAAGAGTTAATGTAGTTCTAAAGTCTAAAAGTTCTTTACCTTAATGCATTCCCTACATTAAGGTAAAAAACACCCCACTAGTTGTTGTGCCCCTCCCCCTCCCTAAATCCTTACCTGATTCCTCCACTGGTCCAGTGCAGTCTTGTCTGCAGTAGAGCTGCCTTCCCTTCTTGCTCTCACAGGATACACTGAGAGAGCTGCTCTCAGTCGAATCCTGTGAGAAGGAGTGAAGAGCTTGGATGATCACACTGTGCATGTTTTTGGACAGACACAGCCTGGCTCGGGAGCATGCCTACAGGGGTGCCCACATGAAGAAGGAGCAGAAGGCACTAGTTGGGTGTCTCCAGAAGAGAAGGTAAGGGACCACCATATTTAAGCATCACTTTAAAGTTAGGGTTGTAAGCTTTAGTCCATAGGGTGGGGAAGATAACATATTTAACCCCTTGGCGCCTTTAAGGGGTTTGTGACGGCGGGAGGTGGAGCAGGGTTTAAGGTCATGTGATTGGCTGTCACAGCGGTCACATGATTGGAAAGGTCCCAATCGCAAGTAGCAGTCCATACCTTTCTGTGAGGCGCCTGTAAATGTGTCAGGAGCACACAAGGCGGTCACATGTTTGTTTACTTTTTACAAAAGCCAAAGGCGAAGGGAGGGAACAGGGGCGGTTTGATGCACAAATATGCGGGTGCTCAACATCAAGGCCCAGCCACCGAGAGGCCACATAGTTGTGTACCGTCTGCGCCAACAGGTTGAAGACCACTGTAGTAAAAAATATTGGAAACTGTATGACATTAATTCCTGTTATAATAGTTTTCTGGGTTTTTTTTTTTTTCATTATCATTTGAAAACGCAAGCCAATCTGTAGATATCTGTAATAGTTAGAGGGGTTAGGCAAACCATGTAGCAATGACAAGGGTGCTTACAATAGTCAGCTTTTATTCATGTTATGTAAACCTTTTTCCAAAAGACAAAATATCTGTTACTGTAATTCGTTAAAAAGTTGTTTGGAGGCTTCAATCCATTTATTTCTATTCTATTTCAAAACTACAATACATATCCATCTAAGACATCCTTGTCCACTAGATGGCAGTGCTGCTGTGATTTTCGCTGCCGAATGAACATTGTTTTCACCCTGTTATAGGAAATTGGGAAATAAATGAACATTTGGAAGGATAAACAAGTACTAAAGCTACACTGCAGAGGGACTCAGAAAATCAACAACTGCTGTGTTAATGCTAGTGAAAGACCACATCACATATGCCAGTTTTCATCTTGTCTATAGTTCCACTTTAAGGGCTGGTTTTAGGAGATTTATTAATTGTTAAGTGTTAATTGTTAAAGGTTAGAGGTTGAATATTAGGAGGTGTTTGAAAGTTAAGGGCTGAAGCAGGGGTGGACTGACAACGCATGGGGCCCCCGGGCAATAGGGGATCATGGTTCCCTGTGTCCTTGCCCAAACTCAAAAAAGCCTATGAAAAAGGTACCAGGGGCATCTCATGGGGCCCCCTACTGACCCCGGGCCCTCGGGCAGTGCCCGAGTTTCCAAATGGTCAGTCCGCCCCTGGGCTGAAGTTAATGGCTGAGGAAGCGGTAGGGTTTAGTGTTAGGGTGTGCTTTATTCTTAGGAACCCTTTATATGTTAGAGATTTCTTACTTACACACTTATCGATTGGGGATAAATCATCTAAATACTATGCTTATCACAAGTTGCAATGCAAAATATATTGCCAGCTTCTAGTATTAGTAAATGTTTACCACCTTTGGTGTGTATGAATAAGTGAGGCAAAACTGATTCTGAAGGCAAAAACCTTCTGCTCTGCTTTCATTGCAGAGCACTATGTAGTAAATGTTTATTTGAGAAAGAAAGGTTTTATATAAATAGTAAAAATCAGATAAAACTAGAATTGTAAATACACAAAAATTCAAAGCCTATCTCTAGCCAAAGCTCACAGATTTATATCTAAAAAAAATGTGCTGAAAGGTGCAGTAGTTTAAAGTGTAACTAACGTTAAAATGGTATTAAACCCAAAATCAAAAATGTATTATATATCAGCTTACCAATCATTAGATGTGGTGGCTGCATCAGTTTTCTTTTTTTTAGGCTTTTCCCCTCTGTTTTCACCTGGTAATCTGGCCAGTAACGCACCTCCAGTATTAGTGAGACACCATTCTGGAGGAATGAGCACAGGGCACAGCAGACAGTATCACTGTCAGTCTGGGCGAGAAGAGAGTAAAACGTAATGGCAGATTTAAAGTTTGCGTGTCAGAGCTCAGTGGAAGTAAGGAAGGCAGCTAGCAGCAAGGTCAATATATCCAAAACCTTTCTGGTGTATAAAATAAATAAAGTGCAGTGACTGTAACAAAATAGTCTTTAAATAATACCAAAATAAATAAATATAATACAAATAATTCATCAAAAAATGTGGTTCAATAAATAATGAAATATATAGTCCTTTAAGTGCAACTGTTCCAAATCTAAAATTTAAATGGGATAAATTCATAAACATTTATGTAAAAGTGTAAAAAGTAAACAAGTTCATAAAATAAAGTGCATGACAATTGCCATTGAGGATCAGTGAATAAATCTATAACTTTGTGATCTCCCCCGTGCAGATCCCTTCACCAACACTCCGCACTCACTAGAAGCAATGGCTGCATATGTATTTGTAGCTACTGCGGTTTATTGTAATCCAAGCAGTACTCCATTCTGGTCATAGTCCCTTTAGGATGGCACCCAAATGGCTGTAGCAGCTATGTATGTCGCGTCACCCTTCGCAAGGAGAAGATCAACAGTGCAACTGTATAGCAAACCAGAGTCTCATAGTGCAGTATTTAATAAAATAAACCAGTAAAAACACATATAAAAGGACATGCCATAAAATCAGACAGCACTCACAAAGATGGCTGCTGCATAGAGTCCATGTGGCGGCATGACGTCAGCACCCAAAACATTTTGCGCCTGTGCATCATCAGGGGTCCTTGCAGAGGGTGATGTGACATACGTAGCTGCTTCAGCCATGTTAAAGGGACCATGACCAGAGTGGAGTGCTGCTTGGATTATAATATAGAGTGGTAGTTACAAATACATTGCAGCCATTGCTTCTGGTGAGTGCGGAGTGTTGATGAAGGGATCTGCACAGTAGTGATCACAAAGTTATAGATTTATTCACTGATCTTCGGTGGCAATTGTGATGCACTTTATATTATGAACTTGGTTACTTTTTATATATCTTGTATATACAGCAGGGCTCTTTTTCTGAGAGAATAGATGGAGGAACTTCCCCCTTCTTAGTTACCCCTTGTCTCTGCCCCCTACCCACCTCTGAGCACCCTCCCTTAGTTCTACCCCCTACCCACCTCCCATAACCTCTTTTAGAGAGTACAGAACCAAATATCATTTTGTGGTGCTAAGTTATTTGCATTGAATTTGTTAATGATAACAAGAAAATCAGTAAAAAAAGATCCCCTGCAGTCAGCAACAAAAGACCTCCCCAAATACTTCCACAGTAACAATAGACTCCTCTGGCAAAAATAGATCCCCCACACAATAACAGACCCTCCCCCAGCAACAATGGATCCCCTGCAACAAAATACCACCTCAGCAACAGTAGATCTACGCCAGCAACAATAAACGTCCAGTAGCCAGCATCAATAGGTCTTCTAGCAGCAAGCAACAATAGATCTCTCCCTCAACAGTAGATCCCTCCCAGCAACAATTGACCTCCCCAGCAACAATAGATCCCACACCAGTAACAGTAGGCCTTCACAGCAACAATAGACTTCCATGCAAAAATACAGCACAGCCCAGCACCCCTTGCCATTACATGCATTCAGTGCTGGAGGTGTCAAAACTGTGTTTCCCTAAGTTCCCTCTGGAAAAAAGCCCTGATGTACAGTATGTTTATGAATTTATTACACTTTCATGGAAGATTCTGAACATTTGTTCTTTAAAGGGCTATACTGTATATTTGTTTTATTATTTATTTAACCACGTTTGTGATTAATTATTTAGATTTTTTTATTTTGGCATTATTTCAAAACTGTTTTGTTATAGACACTGCACTTTATTTTAATAGCAGATTTAAATACAATAACAAATTGAAACCAAACTCCAGCTCATGCTTTATAATCAGTTACGGCAAACAGGTTTTTTTTCCTTTTGAGATTAAAGGTTTTACATGAATAAAATAAATCTGACCATTGTAATCACCCCTGCCAGTGCTAAATGGATGGCCTAATTTAAACTGATACATTCTGCAGGAGAGGTTGAACTTGTGAAAAACAGCAGGCTTGCTGGCTGAAAGAAAGATGAAAATAGAAGAAAGAAAGCCTAAAGAGGAACTTAGTACAACCACCAAATGTAATAACTTGGTTTTTTTGGGGGGGGGGATTACTTGGCCCTGGTGTACTTGGTGACGGCCTTGGTGCCCTCGGAGAGGGTGTGCTTGGCCAGATTTCCAGGCAGGAGGAGGTGGACGGCGGTCTGGATCTTCCGGGAGGTGATGATGGAGCGCTTGTTGTAATGAGCCAGGCGGGAAGCTTCGCCAGTGATGCACTTGAAGACGTCTTTGACAAAGGAGTTAATGAAGCTCATGGCCTTGGACGAGATGCCAGTGATGGGTTGACCCGCTTGAGCACCTAGTACATGTAGATGGCATAACTCTTCTTTCCTGCTCTTCCTCCGCTTCTTGCCGTCCTTCTTCTTGCTCTTGGTCATGGCTTTCTTTGAGCCCTTCATGGGTGCCGGCGCAGACTTGGCTGGTCCAGGCATGATAAGGGCTAACCACTGCTTGGCTGTGTGTGGGGAAAGTGTCCAAATTTAATAACTTGTAAGCTGCAATATAATACGTTTGCTTTGGGGTTTAATACTGCTTTAAATTGAATCTATGGTCAAAATGCAAAACCACATATTAATTTCCACTTTGTATTTTAAATCTTTTTAGGCTACTTCTCTTACTCTCATTGATCTTGAATTTGTAAACTCATATTGTGAGGATTACCAGACATTTACATCCTTGAATTCTGTGACACATAGTCACTATTTCCTGTGAGCAGGCACTGCTGTGTCACACATTTCACAGAGCCCGCCTTCTAAATTACAAAGGAGTTGAGAGGAGGAGTTTCAGGAGGCGGATTCAGTACAGGAATCACTGCTTGCAGGCAACAAGGTACCATGAGATATGTAGTCCTTAGAAATTGCAAGTCAACAGGGAATCCAGGAAGTCGTGGATAGAGATGCAACAGACAGGCAGAACCTTTCAGCGCTGTTACACTTTGAATGATAATTGCACAGTCATGCAATGCTGTACCCAAACTAAATGTTTATCATTTTTTTCACACAAATAGAGATTTATTTTTATGGCATTTAATCGCCACTGGGTTTTTATTTTTAGCTATATATATAAAAATATAAAAAAATAATTTTAACATATATTTTTACATATATTTGTAAATGCATTCCAAAAATTTAGATTTGTATTTTTAAAGACATACAGTATATTTGAAATGTATATTTAAAATATATTTTTCATATATTTTGAAATAAAAATGCATTTCAACATGCTGTGTATATCTATATATTTATGGAAATATATTGAATATGGCCAAAATTGTAGCATTTCAAATATATGTCAATATATTTGGGAAGAATATTTTTAAAATATATTTCAAATATATTTTTCTTCCATATGGGTTGGACCTGATGACTAAAAACTGATCTGCAGTTTCCACTCTGGCCACATATGTCACCACTTCACATGCTGCTGTGGATCATCGGCCTCTACTCCTCCTTTGACTTAAATTAATACTTTCAGGGTTGTAAAGCTGGAAAAGGTCTTCTCTAGTTTTACTTGAGCTCTGACAGTTGTAGCTTAATTACTCACTCTAATTCACCTTTGTGTGATCAGGCAGCTCTTCAAAACTAAACCATCAGGGGGTAGCTGTACACCCTGCTTTAAGTTATTTAAAGCCAATTCTGCCAACTCAATTTATCCACAAACACGTGGCTCCAACATAGTTTCTGCTGAATCATTATTGTGTGTGAAGGTTAATTGCCTATTTGGACAGCCAAGTAACAAATTAAAATGTTCGCCCAGCAGAAAGCAGGCTCACTGTGATAGCAGCATCATCCTTTTCTATTGTCTTCAGTGGTTTTCAATGGATTTTAATTTTTTTTTCTATTCTTCTATGTTAAAAATGAATGGACTTCTTATAATACTAAAGACTTATTTGCATCTATATATATAAAATGCTGAAAAAGTTCTATTTGCATTTATTTTGGTGAAATGTCCCAACCAGGGTTTCTCAATCAGGGTTCCTCCAGAGGTTGCTTGAACAATGAGTAATTTCTGCCTCGCTCTGACAAGTTCCCACCATTGATCTGTTTAGCTATCTGTAAGTGGGTATTTGTTTCCTATGATCACAAGTGTAAGGAGTATTCTTCCCATTGACCATCACACTATTTTATCATGAGTTGTAGATAAAGTCATTTTTAGCAGGGGTTCCCTGAGACCGGGAAATTATTTCAAGGGTTCCTCTGTGTTCCAAAGAATGAGAAACTGAGGTTCAGACCAAAATCAGCCAATTGTTATTTCATCTAGAAGATTAAAAAGACTGAGAGCTCTCTGCATCATTCTGGACCACCCCCTGGCAGGTGAAAACCAAAGTGTTCCCAGGATTTCATGGGAGCAGCCAGAAGACATAAAAAAATAGAATACTGCTAGGGAGGCATCTGGTGTGTGTAGAGAGCAGGTAGTGTATTTCAAACTTTGCTCTTTTAACCTCTTCAATACTGCACTTTTACCCTCTTCGTGTCCAGGCTAATTTTCAGCTTTCAGCGCTGTTGCACTTTGAATGACAATTGCACAGTCATGCAGTGCTGTACCCAAATTCAATTTTTATAATTAATTTTTTCACACAAATAGAGATTTCTTTTAATGGCATTTAATCACCACTGGGTTTTTATTTTAGCTATATAAACAAAAAAAGACAGAAAATGTTTCAAATAAATAATTGTTCTTCAGGAATTTAGGTCAAATGTTTTTTGCTACATTTCTTTGGTGGAAATAACCCAGATCAGTGTTTATTATTTAGTCTGTAGGAATGTTATAGAGTCCACAAACTATGGTATATATTAATTATATATAATAAAAATATTATTATATATATTGAAAATTGATCAATCCTGATGTACTGACAGCCTATCTAATTTCTTGTGGCCCAAAAATGTCTGGACAGTACAAATATCCCCAAATGACCCCTTTTTGGAAAGTAGACAGTCCAAGGTATTTAGTAAGAGGTATGGCGATTTTTTTGAAGTTGTAATTTTTTGTCATAATATTTTGGGAAATGAAGAAATTTAAAATAAACTCACTTTTTTCTTTACATGCTCTCACCAGTGCAGTAAATGGTGATGTGGCGGTGATCAGGGACACTGACTGGTGACAGTAGAAAAAAAAAGTTTTTCAATTTTTCTTTTTTTTCTTCTTTTTTATTACATGTTTTCTTTTTTTTTATATTTTTGTTAAACACACTGTGACCAGAGCAGCATAATGTTATCAAAGTAACATTGCAATACTCTGGGCAAATGATCAGAATTTTTTTGATTGCTTATAGCAGTGAATTTCAAGCATTTTTACTGAATGAAAGACAATAATTCAGTATGTATCATTGTGATTAGCTGTGATTGGCCACAGCTAATCACATGGTACAGATGGGCTGTGATTGGCACTGTCTGAACCATGTGATCACTGTGACTAATCACAGCTAGCAACACAGTTGTATACAATGAATGGCATGAATCAAAGCCATTCGTTGTTTACAATTGTCATGTGATCTGCTGTGATTGGTACAGTGGTTTGTTATCATCTGTGGACACAGCCAGCGACAGATCACGCCCTCAGTGCGGCCGCACACTGGGAGGACATCATATGAAGTTCATTCGAAATGACGAATGTCCTGCCCGGCAGTCATTTTGCTATAGGCCGTTCAGAAAGCTGTTAAAGAACTCCAGAAGCCGCAAATGTTTGACACTTCCAGGTTTGTTAGATAGCCTGACCACTGTGTTTCCTTATAAACCCCTACATCATTGCAGTAGACTTCAGAAGAACCACAGGGGGCAGCAGAGGACGCTTGGAGACTCAGTCAAATAATATTGTTACAGAAAGAAGGGTCAGCCACACACCGGAGGATAGATGAATATAGGGTGTATTTATTGATCCATAGGACACACAAAACACCAGAACATGAATACAGGACCTGTTAACGCGTTTCACACGATCTCGTGCTTAATCATAACTATGATATATGCAAATTGTATGTGTATTGAACCACATCCGATTTGCAAGACATGTGAACCGAAAAGCTTTTCTATGGAGCTGGTTCACATACAGTATGTGCAGGCCGGCCCCAGTGTGATTTCAAAAAGTGTCTGGTACAATTTTCAGCCCAGTGCGGGTGCAATTTCCAATGTCATACACTTTAACAATTCACACCTGAATCGCACCTAAGCCACTAATCAAAGGCACATCAGATGGGCCTTGAAATCGTGCTGCAAACCAGTCTTGCACATATGTAATCCCAGGCTAAAAAGGGGAAGTTTCAACACACTGCCCTCCAGACAGGTGCAATAAGTATTAAGACTAAGTTCAGACCCTTGCATGTTGAGAACGTACAAGAAAAAATCTGAGATTTAGCAGACAGGTAGAGATGCCTTCTAATTTGCGTCAAACTGCATGGTGCTGTAGCACCATGTGGTTCAGTGCAGTGTGTTTTTGGAACAGTCAAGGACTTCTTTTCTGTATTTCTCACATATAGGGAAGGCAATTGAAAAGCGCTCAGCTGCACCTGTAGGTGTGAACCAAGTCTAAGTGTTTCAAAAGTGTTGTCGCTGTAATTTTCTATGCCCACTGACAGCACTGCTTTAAGGTGGATGCCTCTGTGCAGCAATCCCTGGGGCACCTGCTATGTACATGCCCAAAAAAACCCCCAGCTTTGTCTGAAATAGGCAAATCTGAACAAAGCATGCCCATAAATACACTAATAGCTAGCTGACAAACAGCTTCAAGGTAGGTGAATATCACCTAAAACCTGTAAGAAAATGATCCTTTCTGGAATAGTAGGAGACCTCTCATGGTCATTCCCATAGATCATGGTTGAAATGTGGGGGATTCATAACAATTTTTTGTTCAATACGTTTTTAATGATTTTCACATTTTTATCAACGAGTACAATCACAGGTAAAGAAAAAGTAATGTGTACAGGAAGACCACTTCTTCCGCTAAGAAATTATACAAAAATGTTACAGTCTACACACAAGTGAATCAGGACTTAAAGAAGGTGTGTCCTGTAAGCGGGGAAGCAATGAATAAAACAGATTTTGTAGCTAAGGAGAAAAGGGGAGCTTGGATTACAACCCTTATGACCAATGAGCAGAATCATAACATGTTTAAGGACAAATGAGTCCTTGGGGGAACTCCATTCATAAAACAAGACCTCAATTACACACTGAGTAAAAAAAAAGGGAAAAAGCTCTAAGCACCCCTTACAAATCTCTACCTCCAAGGATTACCACCCCTACCATATATTGTATATATTCAACTCGTTAATTTAATCTACAAAAAGGATAGAAAAAGTGTAGAAGGTGGCAGGAAATTTAAGGGTACCATATCAAAAACTTCTCTTAAAACGTTTACCAAAACATTATTATTAGAAAGATAAAACCCATTTACACAGGCCTTAAAATGCTACACCTCACATAGTAGATAGTACCAA